TTAGTCTGCCATCTGATGGTCTAGAGAGTTGATTATTAGTCTGTCATCTGATGACCTAGAGAGTTGATTATTAGTCTGCCATCTGATGGTCTAGAGAGTTGATTATTAGTCTGTCATCTGATGGTCTATAGAGTTGATTATTAGTCTGTCATCTGATGACCTAGAGAGTTGATTATTAGTCTGCCATCTGATGGTCTAGAGAGTTGATTATTAGTCTGTCATCTGATAGTCTAGAGAGTTGATTATTAGTCTGCCATCTGATGACCTAGAGAGTTGATTATTAGTCTGTCATCTGATGACCTAGAGAGTTGATTATTAGTCTGTCATGTTAATAAATAATAGTTTATATAACAACTGAAGCCAAAATAAAGATACACAGCGGGCAGATTTCACTCTTACAAAATGTATCTTTAAGGTAAATATAGAATCGGTTTCACAGAGGTATTGCGAAATCCTTCTAATAGCTACTAACTCTGTATAAGATGTCTGACCTTTATAAGCTCAAGTATGCTTTCTACGCATAACGCCACATCTTGAGACGTCAATCATTGTTTGTATAAGACGTTGTTGCATTAACTGGTTCGGGCAGAATGGTGCCTTTTACTCATTTTATACACCCTAAAATAGGAAATATTTTATATCTACGTATACGTCAAACATCTTTCTTTATTTTGAAATACTCATAAAAAACCCAACAAAAACAACAATGTTCTAGAATTTAATCTTTATATTTTCTATACTTTTAAAAGGTCTGGTAGTGGCACTTTATATTGAATAAGAGAGAGAGAGAGAGGGGGGGAGAGAGAGAGAGGGAGGGTCATTTCGGGACTAACATATGGTTCAATTTTATTTCAATAATTCGCTTGCGCGTAGCTGTCTTTAGCAATGGGAGGATATCGGAGGACCCGGAGAAAACCCACGAGGTTGGACAGGCGACCCTACCCCTTGTCACTTACAATCGGGGAATCGAAACCACGCCAGTTGACTCAATGACAGACCTTATTTTACAACACACGCTGTAAACACTCAGCCCTATATTGGATGAAGAGATAACAATTTATGCTTACTGTAGAATGTCAGCAATAACAACTCTTAAAAACAACAAGATAAATCATAACAATAAACAAAACACCATGTCATTTACCTGTCGCTTACCTGGATGACATTGTAGTGTTTGACATTATCTTTTTCTTACCTGTAGTCATACAGAAAAACACATTATTACGATAGGTGTATTTTTTTTTATGGGCTGTTTCTCGGTGATATATTACAGTTCTTTCTGGTTTGTATAAATAAATTTAAACAGTTAAAACTGTCCAAGGACATAGTGACCGCTGTGAATGAGGAGTAAGGGAAAACGATGTCGCAGGAGCACAAAACCAAAATATTTATATTATTGGAGTGGGCGAGGGAATTTGGTTAGGGGCTACGTCTCCCCTTCCATACATGTGTAGAAAATTATGGGCTGTGAGTGTGAGAACATGCTAAAAGTAGCCAATATCATCCACATTCTTCGATATTCCAAACACGAATTATTTGTCAATTTAAATCAACATTAATGTTGTGGTGTTACTGGGGAAAGATGGGCTTCTAATATCCAATATTTAAGACAAAATAAACATTTTACCATTGTACCATAATGTGTTTCAGTGCCATTTGTAACAAGGGACTCAAAGAAAGAGGCTAGACTAAGACATATTGCACAAGTGACGCCATATTCTTTTCTGGAAAGCATGCGCAATAAATACTATCGGTGTAAACTGGAATAACCAGACGCTAGAGACTGCCATTCGATTGAGACTTCTGGCGTATTTCGCCGAACATAACTGATTAGAAATTAGAGTAAAAACCGAAACGATTGAATGTAAAACAAATTATATACATTCATATTACATTATTATATGCGTTGCGACCCATTTGTGTCAATTACTAGGTCCCAAATATTAGCGATTTAGCTTATTTAAGTTAATTTATATAATATGTAAGCCACTGTATGTTTGAACATTATGATTTTTCTGAACGTGGAGCAAACACATGATGCAAAGCACGTCATCCCCCTACCCCAACCCTCCATCCGCCCCGCCTTCCTTTCACCTAAGGAGGGGTTGGATGGCCGAACTGTTAGCACGTGCGCGCTGTGAGTCAGCTGGCGTGGTTTCGATTCTTCCCGGTTGTATATGGCAAGGAGTAGGGTCGCATGCCCAGCCTCGTAGGTTTTCTCCGGGTCCTCCGGTTTCCTCCCACTGCTAAAGACCCCTACGCGCAAGCGAATTATTGAAATAGAGTTGAACCATGTGTTAGTCCCGAAGTGGCCTAGTTGTGTCGAGTGGACGTTAAGCACCATCTCCCCCCTCTCTCTCTCTCTCTTGTAAGCACTGAAATTGTTTTTATGTAACGTGAACGTGACATATCGAAGTTGGTTTTGCACATTTCAAAAATAAATTGTCACCCATTATTTACCCCGATAACACATCCATTATTATGTCTGACCTATATTTATATAGCCTATGTAAGTACAAGGTAGTTTTTATGTTGATATAAGTTTATATGTATAAAAACATTTCAACTCAATAATGGCTAATAGCTTTAGTATATATACGATGTACGAACTAAACTCAGTCGGTTAATGCAGTCATGTTTTTTTTCTGTCAGTAATTATGCCAATCAACATTAAACTGTATATTTTACTCGGGTGTATAAATAATGTTCAAGCTGTATGTATATAAATAATGTTCAAGCTGTATGTATATAAATATATTGTACTTGGCTTGAAAGGTTTGGGTGGAATATGTCAACGGTCAACATTGCTAATTGAATGACGTCACTCTATGAAGGACACTCATAGCCTCGAACTGTTCCCGCAGTCATCAACTTTATTCGTTTTATATTATATTAATTATCAAAGCAGTGGTTTAACAAAGGCGTCAGTGCCACGGACGAAGGGGGGGGGGGGGGTCTACGGTTCTTTTAGGTGCTCCCGTCTTCATTAGCCCAGTATAGGAGACAAACAGTAGGACGTTAAACCCCATTTCATTTCATTTCTTTTAGGTACACAGATGGACATATGATATAGTGTGTGCTATGAGGACAATTTTGCCTGGGCAGCGGCGTTACGGCCTACGTGCACGCGGTACCTCGGTTTTTCGTCCCATCCGAAGGACTTTACGTTGTCCCTGGCCACGCCCGCCGTCCTGCACCCTGACAGGAGGGAACCACGCCGGAAAATCCCGATGAACTTTTTCGGCCAACACGGGAATCGAAGACGCAACCTCCAGGTTATAGCGAGCCAGTGGCTTACTCACTGATGCACCGCAGCTCCCTAACAAATTAGACCACCTTGGCACATCTTGGAACACATGACAAAATATCGGCACACCTGGCTAAATATATGTGAAAAATATTTGAATTTTGCAAGATAAATACATGGTAAGCCAGCCGGCATACAACCGTAGACGCAGAGAAAGACTCTAAACTAAATAAAGAAAAACACTACAGCAATGAACTTAACCGTACACACCAGTGAATACTCAATTGGAATCACGTGATTTTTCGCATTTTATTAGTGTGTCGTTCAAAATTTGGCTCCACACTGGAGAATGACTAAGTTAGAACAGAACTCTGTTTCACGAAATTTTTACTCCAAATTTTAGTAGATACTTCAATTTTGATTGGCCAAGCACTAAAATCAATCTGATATCATCCAATCAAATTACTAAAATTTGGATTTTATCTTATTTAAACATACATTATGCAAGAGCTAAATCTGTCTATTGCAGGTCTTTCTTTAGGCCTGAAATGTTATCTAAATTATTAATTAGACATTAATTAACCTATCCAGACATAATCAACTCTAGATGGCATCGCTAGACTGCGATCTGTAGTGCATTATGAGCCGATTTACTGCATAATTTTCCTTCACGATTTAACGATTAAATGGATAATCGAGACTATGCTGTTTATCGTACTGACTTTAGTAATGATGAACGAGGCTAGGCGGAAATTTCATTCGCTTAGTTCTGGGTTCATAGTTGATCAATTTGAATGAAATTTTCAGCAAATTGCCTTTACGTTATCTAGTTTTTAACTATTATAATGAGAACTGCCAACTCGTTATCGAATCTCCCATAATGTATCTTTAAAATTTCGTGAAACAGATCCCTCGGCCACTAAAAATTCCTAACTGGTAACATTTGATTATAAGCTAGGTAAGATTTATAACAATCTGATTAAATACATCTATAATCAATATTTAAAACACGATAACTAATATACACACCTGTTATCTCACCTGCTATACTATATAACATCTGTAAATAACACAGGTAAGAAACAGGTGATTTAACTCTTCTCTCTATTATTGGTTATTGGTGATCAGACATTTCTATTGAATAAAAGATATCAGCTGTGTGTATTTATATTTCTAAATAAGCTGATGACATCAACTCATTATATCGGTTATCGTAATCCATGATTGATAACATAAACTCTATCTTTATCAAGAGAGAGAGAGAGAGAGAGAGAGAGGGGGTTAAAGAGAGGGGGTGAGAGATGGGTTTAAGAGAGAGAGAGAGAGGTTTAAGAGAGAGGGGAAAGATGGGGTTTAAGGGAGGGTAGGGGGGGGGGGGGGGGCAACTATCCTGACTTATTGACAGCGGGCATGTTGTGTGCTTTGAGGGTATGACGATAATTCTGCCCTAACAATTATTTCCATTTTCAATTGTGAAAGGATCCATGAACATGTTGTTAATGTTTCACACACGTTCTCGACTAGACATTTTCCCCCAGGTTCAGTTCATCCTGTATCACATACAAATGAAAGTAGCTAAGTCTCTAACTCAGTATCATCCAAAGCCTTAAATCAACATTGATGTTGTCATCTTACCGGCAAATGGTGGGCTTCTGATATGCAATATTTAAGACAAAATAAACATTTGGCATTGGTACTCGAATCCTGTACCTCTAATGCGTTTCAACGCCATTTATAACAAGGGACTCGAAGAACGAGGCCAGACAAATTCCACACAAGTCATGTTAAGCGGTGACGTCTTATTCTTATCTAGAGAGCATGCTGAATCAATACTATCGATGTAGACTGGAATAACCAGATGCTAGCGATAGCCATTCGATTGAGATTTCTGGCGTATTTCGCCAAAACAACTAATTTGAAATTAGAGTAAAAACAGAAACGATTGAAGGTAAATCAGTTTATATACATTCATATTACATTATTGTATGCGTTGCGAACCATTTGTGTCAATTTCTAGGTCCCAGATATTAGCGATTTAGCTCCTTTAAACATGTTTGTGAAGCCTAAAGCAAAATGAAGCCTTCTTCTATAGGAGACGCGTGTTAATTTACCTGTAATTGTTATTCCAAGTTTTTAGTTTGAATTCAATAATTCGCTTGAAGAATAACAAACTAATCCAGCACGATTGTAAATATATATAGCATGTCATGTAGTAATCACATATGGGCTCATTTCGTGATCATATCATTATCATTTTAACTAATTTTCTTTCATTCAGCTAATAAGGCCAAAAAATTAAAAAAATAATAAATAAATAGATAAATAAAATAAAAAAATATCCGTTTTTACGATTAATTGGCCACAACACAAAACTTGGAGTCTACGATCTTTGTCACGCGGTGTCATTTTATTGTTTATAATTATTTCCTGGTATTTCTGGTTTAATTACTCTCTCTCTCTCTCTCTCTCTCTCTCTCTCTCTCCCCGCCATTATTTCCTGACTGAGTAAATTTCTTCTGTATTCTGTTATTCGGGGTCATAATGAATAAATATTATGGGGGTGGGGGCGGAGGACCCGGTGAAAACCCACGAGGTTAGGCAGGCGACCTTACTCCTTGTCACGTACAACCGGGTAATCGAAGCCATCCCAGTTCACTCAATGACAGACCTTATGATACAACGCGCACATACTAACCATTCGGCGATCCAACCCCACCTCACCTTAAAGAGAGAGAGGGAGAGAGGGGGGGGGGGGGGTGAATCGAAATCACGCTAGTTGACCCAATGACAGACCCTATGATACAACGCGCACGTGCTAACCATTGTGCCATCCAACCCCCACGTTAACACGTGTTCCCGCGGCCATGCAACCCCCACGTTAACACGTGTTCCCGCGGCCATCCAACCCCCGAGTTAACACGTGTTCCAGAAGATCAGAAATTCACATTGTAGTGGTCTAAGATCTAAATAAAGCTAGGTTTAATGCCATTGTTGTATTTAATTTACAAGCCGGAAATAATCTACATTTTATTAGACATTAGACTAATGATAAAAAAATGGAAATGTATTTCTATAACATTTGTTTTTTATGCACGTGTTTATTTTATTGTGATGTGGCCTGTGGACTAAGAATAGTTTTTTAAAGTGGCTAATTAGATGGTTAGAATAAACAAAACAAACTATATAACAATTATTATAGAACATATTGTATAACAATTATTATAGATGGTGTTTAGGAGAGAGAGAGAGAGAGAGAGAGAGAGAGAGAGAGACGTAAGATTTAAATATTTGTCAAGATCATTCGGCCGTACGTCATGTTCAGGATTATGTAAGATATTTAATATATCAGACCACAATATTTACATATCTATTTATAATATCTATAAGATGTTATTTCATCAGACCATCATGTTTACATATCAAAAGATGAATTAAATTCCTACAATAAAATAATCCGCTTTTATTCAACTATCAATGAAGTACGGTATACATCTAATGGTAAGGGATATTTAAATAAACATATAATATACCTAACCTGTCTTTAATTATAGGGTTATTCTAAAAATATATTTATATACACTGTTAAACATACAATGACTGGAATGGGGTTTAACGTCCTGGGTTGTTTTTACGATGTAATGCGTATAATAAAAAATAAATATTATTATTATTATTCCAACTGGGCTAATGAAGACGGGCATACATGTACACCATACAGTGTGATATGAGGATCATTTTACCCAGGCGTGGGCCGAGAAAGTTCATTGGGAATTTCCGGTGTGGTTTCTCCTTCCTTGTCAGTGGTGCAGGACGGAGGGCCTGGCAAGAACAAATGTCTAGTCCTTCGGATGAGACGAAAAACCGAGGACCCGTGTATGCATTGGAATGCACGTAAAAGATCCCTTGGCAGTTGGAATTCGATATAAGAGTAGATGATAGTGCCGCTGCCCGGGCAAAATTTCCCTCATAGCACACTGTATGGCGTATGCCCGTCTTCATTAGCCCAGCATAGGAGCAGAACAGTAGGACGTTAAACCCCATTTCATTTAATTCATTCATTTGTTAGTCAACTGGCGTGGTTTCGATTCCCCGGTTTTACATGACAAGGAGTAGGGTCGCCTGTCCAACCTCGTGGATTTTCTCCGGGTCCTCCGGTTTCCTCCCACTGCTAAAGACCCCTACGTGCAAGCGAATTATGTAAATAAAATTAAACCATATGTTAGTCCCGAAATGACCTAGTTTGTGTCGAGTGGACGTTAAACCCCATTTCTCTCTCTCTCTCCCAATAGTGAATTACCATACCACTTTTTATTTATTTATTGTAAAAGATGAAATAATAGATAAACTATACCGTACATATATTTTTTATATATAATTTACAATGTCATGTGATTTATATACAGTACGACCTTGACTTAGTTTTTTAGAATATCATATTGTAAATGTTCTGTTGACGTGAACGAGATAAATACACTTATGAAACCTCTTACATCAACACAGAAAACCTCTCAACAAAAATAATTCACTGGCTTACTCGATGAACAGTAAAATAATGCGTTTATCATGGAAAAGCCCTTGAAAAAAAAAAAAATTACCAGATGACCTTCGGTGGCTATATATAATCCATTATCTTAAAATGAGATAAAGTACTCTGATTATGGCAAAATATAATGATGAATTGGGTTAATCTAGGGGTTTTCAGGCAGGTTGGTCTCCAATGTATGTCGTTAAAGAGAGAGAGAGATGGAGAGAGGGAGGGAGGGAGAGAGAGAGAGAGAGAGAGAGAGAGAGAGAGGGGGGGGGATAACGTCCACTCGATGACTCGACACAAAGGACTAACACATGGTTCATTTTCATTTCAATAATTCGCTTGCGCGTACGGGCCTTTAGCAGTGGACCCCGGAGAAAACCTACGAGGTTGGGCAGGCGACCATACTCCTTGTCACGTACAACCGGGGAATCGAAACCACGTCAACTGACTCAATGACAGGCCTTATGATACAGCGCGCATGTGCTAACCATTCGGCCATCCAACCCCCAAAACAATTATAAAAGTTGGTTTACGTAAAGTAACTAATTTCAGGTGAGTTTACTTCCAAAACCAATTCAGAGGTTGAACAGGCGACCTTATTCCTTGTGACGTACACGCGGGAAATCGAAACCACGCCACTTGACTCAATCAATGAAGGCCTTATGATCCATCGTGCACGCGGTAAGTGATTCAGTCACCTAACTCACCATATGTCGTTAAATTACCGTTTTCTTTACTAATTTCTGTTTCGTTTTTGGAATAAATATAGATTTTCAAGAAAGTATTTATCAGGTGTTTTTTCCAATAAAAGTATTGGTATATATGGAAAGTATAGACGCCCAATCGTACACGAAAAATACTGGATTACCCGAAAAACACCCATGGGGCAAGCACTGGGCAAAAATGTCAGGGGTGTAAACGTATAATAGTCTCTGCAATTAAACGGCGGAGATTTTTTTTATGAGAAATTATCCAACAAGATATAAATATATGAGCAGACGGATGTTCGCCATAGGACAATATATCTCACATCATAAACAATCATAGTTTAATACATAAATCGTGATATTTGACGATTTTATCTCGAACATCTTTTACTAGTGACATAGCTGTTTTCAAAATATGTTTCTGTTGTTTTGTTTTTCACTGCGATAATTTTCACATCATTTATTTCAGTTTATAAATTGTAAACAGGAAATTTTTACGTGTGTTCTTGGTTATTTAAAAACACAAAGCAACGTATGACCTAGAACCTATATTCATATTATTTTCACGTTTAAACTATAATGGATTTATTTTTAAATTGAGAGACCAGGTCATTTCGGGTCTAACATTTGGTTCAATTTTATTTCAATAATTCGCTTGCACGCTGGGGTCTTTTAGCAGTGGGAGGAAACCGGAGGACCCGGAGAAACCCCACGATGTTGGACAGGCAACCCTACTCCTTGTCATGTACAACCGAGGAAATCGACACCCCGCCAGTTGACTCAATGACAGACCTTATGATACAGTATGCAGGCGCTAACCATTCGGCCATCCCCACCCCTCTTTTTTAAATTGAAGGAACAACAATCCTGAATGTTTACATTTACTTAAACACTGTTTATTAGACGGTGGAGACATTTTATTCGTGGAACTCACATATAGCTGTGGAGTCGCGGTGTCTCAGTGAGTAGGACACTGACTCGTTAACCTGGAAGAACTCATATATAGCTGTGGAGTCGCGGTGTCTCAGTGAGTAGGACACTGACTCGTTAACCTGGAAGAACTCATATATAGCTATGGAGTCGCGGTGGCTCAGTGAGTAGGACAGTGGCTCGTTAACCTGGAAGAACTCACATATAGCTGTGGAGTCGCGGTGTCTCAGTGAGTAGGACAGTGGCTCGTTAACCTGGAAGAACTCACATATAGGTGTGGAGTCGCGGTGGCTCAGTGAGTAGGACAGTGGCTCGTTAACCTGGAAGAACTCATATATAGCTGTGGAGTCGCGGTGGCTCAGTGAGTAACCTGGAGGTCCCGTGTTCGATCTCTGTGTTGACTGAGAAAGTTCACCAGGATTTTCCAGCATAGCCCCCCCTTTTCAGTTGTGCAGGAAAGGTGATCTGGCAAGGGACAACGTGTAGTTGTTCGGATGGGACGAAAAGCCGAATCATGCACATAAAACAACCCTTGACAGTTGGAATTCGATATAAGAGTAGGTCATAGTACCGCTGTCTGGGCAAAATTTCTCTCATAGCACACTGCATGAAGTATGCACCACGTCTTCAGTAGCCCAGTCGGTGCAGAACAGTAGGACGTTAAACCCCATTTCATTTTATTTGTGTAGGGGGTTGGGTGGCTGAACGGTTGTATGTGACAAGGAGTAGGTTTGCTCCGGGTCCTCCAGTTTCTCCCCACTGCTAAAGACCTCTATGCGGAAGCGAATTATTGAAATAAAATTGAACCATATGTTGGTCCCAAAATGACCTAGTTGGTGTCGAGTGGACGTTAATCTCTCTCCCTCTCTCTCCCTCCCCCCCTCTCTCTCTCTCTCTCTCTCTCTCTCTCATTTTATTTGTATAGCTTATAAAAGCTGTATAGATTTATTGGCATTGTTTGTCCGTGAGCACGAGACGCTTAGTCACTCTACATATTGTATATATTGTATGAAATAAGAACACGAGGAAGTCATTCGTCATTATCGATTTAAAATATTAATGTAGAAATATTAAAAATCTTACGAACATTTTCAATCTGATTAAAACACAGATCCCTATTTTTTTTTAATGAAATACAGTTGTAGTTTTGGCCAGGGGTTGAAAGCTCTGGAGTTACGGATCTTTATCTTTAACGGAGAGAAAGTCAGTTGTTGGAAGTCCCGTTAACTTTAACATGTCGTTAACTCGCCGTTATATTTCACGGAGGTGTTGGGCTCCGTTATCTGTTTTACGATGGCATTAGTCGACTGTCAGTCAAAGTATACCCATAGCAAAAAGTCATAGATTACCAGAGTAATTTTCTATAGAACATTCTAGTTGGGCGATGGAGGGGAGGGGCTATTCCATTTTCTATAGGATGAAATTCTATAGTATTATACAGAATTCGGGCGGTCTGTAGAATACTGTAGAAAATAATGGCCCCAAACAGTCTACAGTGAAAATCCCATAATTTTCCAACAGATTTATGCTAAAATATAAACTATTCTATATTTTTTTTATATTATAGTATTCTATAGGATTTTATAATGTTTTCTGTAGTAAAATCTACTGTTATATTTTTGTCTTTAATCAAGTTTTGTGAACAGAAGTTGTTTTACATGCACATTAATTTATAAATTTAAAAATCAGCCAATGAACAAACAGTCTTCTCTTGGATTAACATTAATGAATCAGTCGGTTAGCTAACGGATAATGGAATTGACTTTCTAGCAACAGAAATTTAACGGACCGTTAACAAACGAGACGTTAGCAATATAACGATCCGTTTGAGTTTAACGGATTGTTAAAATACTTAGTTTTGAGCAACCGGCCGCAGGTTTTGGGTTGTTTTTTTTTTAAATACAATACTATTTTTGCCATTTCTTTCTTCTGTATAGGCAGAACAGAACATACTATCACGGTATCTGATAGTCACGGTATCACAGACTTTGCGAGAAATAACCACAAATATTAAGTCATAATGACTAAAAAAAACAACTCTAAAAACATGTCATTTTTTAAGAAATCTCTAAAGACTGAACTTTTTACAACTGTTTAACGTTAATGACAATAACTATTTTGTTTAGTGTTATTTTATCAGTTCGAACATTTATTCTGTTCCTTCATTCAATGTTTTAAGTGTTTATCGTGTCATGGTTATAATACCATCTTTTAAAGGTTTGTTTATATATCGTTGGATATTCAGCACTGTATAAATAGATTATTATTATTATTATTATTAAGTACAGATGTGTCATAGTATAATATTGTTGTAATGATATGATTATCAAGGTATGACGATCTGATATGATTGTCTTTGTTATGGTAAGAATTCGGTGAGACACGCTGTTAGATATATTAACGTAAACTAGTGTTGTTATCATGGAGGCGGGTCCGTTAAGGGTTGGACAAGGGTATAAAATCCGCTCCAAACATTCTGAATGAAAATTTAACAAAAATCATTGACAGTGAGACTAAATATAAAAATTATCCCTTTTTGTCGAGGGATTCTTAAAGGGGCATTATGTAAGATAAGATAAAGAGCTGGCAGTTCTCACTATAATAGTTAAAAACTACATTAAGTAAAGGAAATATTCTGAAAATTTCAGTCAAATTGATTCACTCTGAACCGAGTATTTAGCGATTGAATTTTACGCCTAGCCTCGATCATAATTACTAAAGTCGGTACGATAAAAAAAACAAAACATAGTTTCGATTATCCATTTTTGGATTTAATCATCAGTAAGCGTTGAGCAGCAGATCGGATTCAAATCCAGTAAAAATCCGACACATAATATGGCATCGAAAGTTGATTAAGGTCTCTTCATGTTAATAAATGTCTAATTAATAATTTATATAACATTTCAGGCCTAAAGAAAGACGTGCAATGGGCAGATTTACCTCTTGCATAATGTATGTTTAGCCACCCCCAAACATTTGTTAGTGGTGGGAGGGTTTAAACCCCCTCCACCCTCCTGGTGATATACACCGTATACCGTTATTTGTGCGACATCATCATCTGTATAACGACCAGACCATCATGGCGGTGCTGTAAATAGAACTGATAATATTTCTGTATCTATCATATTACTGTTATATAGATGGAGAAGGTCGTAATAACCCCCAACGGAACTGGTAAAAAAACAAACAACGCCAACTAATTAGATATATCTTCGTTAATTATAAAGATTGCCTCACGGCTTAAACACTGCTGATGTTTGAAACACTATTTAATCAATCACGTTTATAACAAAGTTTTTTTATAATATGAAACATATATACTCTTTCAAAAATCACTTATCCATCAAATCCCGCGTTTTTCTACTAAGTCAGATTAGTTTCCATGGAAACGCAACGAGAACATTTTAATTAGCAAACAAAAAGAGATGAAGAGAGAGAGAAAGAAATGGGGTTTAACGTCCACTCGACACGAACCAAGTTTTTTGGGACTAACACATGGTTTAATTTTATTTGAATAATTCGCTTGTGCGTAGGGGTCTTTACCAGTGAAAGGCACCGGGCAGGGGTGCGGGGGATTCTGACCCCCCCCCCCCCCCCACGAGATTGGACAGGCGACACTACTCCTTGTTAGATGGAAACCACGCCCTTGACTCAATGACAGATCTTATAGCAAAAGGTAGAACTACTACAATAGGTTGATGTGTGTACAATGTTTCAGGAAGACATCTTGAATAGTGGCTGCAATCTGCATCACGCCGGAAAAACTCTGATCTCAGGAAACTTTAACGATCAATGAAACTGTAACGGATCGTTATATTGCTAACGTCTCGTTTGTTAACGGTCCGTTAAATTTATGTTGCTAGAAAGTCAATTCCATTATCCGTTAGCTAACCGACTGATTCATTAATGTTAATCCAAGAGAAGACTGTTTGTTCATTGGCTGAATTTTAAATTTTTAAATTCAATGTACATGTATAACAACTTCATAGAAATTAGTATTAACAAGAAACTGAATCCATGAGACAACTAACTGTCCAGTCTGTTCACAAAACTTGATTAAAGACAAAAAGATAACTGTAAAATTTACAACAGAAAACACTATATAAAAAACTATAGAATACTTTATTTTTTTCTGTTAGAAATTTAAGCATAAATCTGTAGGAAAAATTATTGGATTTGCACAACAGAAACTGTAGACTATTTGGGACCATTATTTTCTACAGGCGCCCCAAATTCTGTAGAATACTATAGAATTTCACCCTAAAGAAAATGGAACATACCTTTATCATTTTGTACCACATGTGGTATGGCAGTATATTAGACTCAAAATTCTAACATGCTATCGTCTAATTTCTAACTTCTATTCATGTAATTTCTAACTTTTATTCATGTAATTTCTAAATTAAGACAATGTATAATCCAACTTCTTTTCATGTTGAGTGTAAATTTTAATTCTGTTTCATCTTATTTCTGTTATTTAGATGGAAATGCCTTCTTCATTGAGGCCTTACCTGTTATGCCTGAAAGTCAAACAAATTTAGAATTTTGATACTTCTACTTAGCAACCATCATTATGACGTCGTTTGGTGTCGCCACCGTGTGATCGAGACCATTATGTTGATACCAACGACTCGCGCTTCGTCAGGTTGAATGGTTTGTCTTAATATAGAAATTACATGAATAGAAGTTAGAAATTAGACAATAGCATGTTAGAATTTTGAGTCTAATATACTGCCATACACGTGAGCCACAGGGTGAGCAACGTGGCTATGAAGTAAAGACAATCTGAATCTGACAATCGCGTGAACACCGCACTACAACCGAACTATTTTTTTTTCTATTTGAGAGGGGGAACAGAAATTCATGTGTGGGAAGTGCGGCGCACAAAGCAAATCGCTTATCCCCTACGCCGATCTAACGAACTTATACACAGAACCACGGTGGCTAAGTGGGTAAGACGCTGGCTCGCTAGCTTGGAGGTCGGGTGTTCGATCCCTGCATTGGCCGAGAAAGTTCGTCGGGATTTTTCGACGTGGTTTCCCCTTGTTAGTGGTACAGGACGGAGAGTCTGACAAGGACAGCTGTCTAGTCATTCGGATGACACGAAAAACCGAGGTCCCCTGTATACATTGCCGTGTACGTAAAAGATCCCTTGGCAGTTGGAATTCGATATAAGAGTAGGCCACAGTGCCGCTTCCCGGGTAAAATTTCACTCGTAGCTCACTGTATGGTGTGTGTCCGTTTTTATTAGCCCAGTCGGAGCAGAACAGTAGGACATTAAACCCCATTTCATTCATTTACACCATCAACCGGTACATTTGAATTAAGCTAGATTTGCACCGAGATCATAACGTCAACGACAGACCCACCCTACCTGAAGATAAAAGAAAAAAGCTAGCTACCATATAAGTTTTGACGTTAGTTTCGTACAAGTGTCCTGATGAAGGTGTGAATCTGTTAAAATATAACTGAATATGACAGACATAAGATTGATGAATGAGATATGAAGTAATGGTTGCTAACGGCAACACCATCATCACATCCTTGTGTCACAGATTATAACATGGGTGGAGATAAAAATTGTCAATTGAGAACTCTTTTTAAAAAATTTGATTTTAAATTGTCAAAAATTCTTATCAATCATTTTTTGGGGCCTTTTTTTGTGATCTGTTAAAGTACGGTGGGCGTTGTTATGACGAATAATTAGAAATGAAATGAAATGGGGTTTAACGTCCTACTGTTCTGCTCCGACTAGGCTAATGACGACGGGCATACGTCATACAGTGTTCGATGAGGGACAATTTGTCGGACAGCGGCGTTACGGCCTACTATTACATCGAATTCCAAATCCATATGCCAAGGGTTCTTTTACGTGCACGCCAATGTGTAAACGAAAACTCGATTTTTCGTCCAACCCGAACGACTAGACAGCTGTCCTTGTCACTTGATTCAACGGCAGACCTTGTGGTCTAAAGCGCCCCCTTGTCAGTTACAAGAGGGAGACTAGACTAGATTTCGGGACTAACATATATGGTTTAATTTTATTTCAATAATTCGCTTGCGCGTAGGGGTCTTTAGCAGTGGGAGGAAACCGGAGGACCCGGAGAAAACCTACGAGGTTGCACAGGCAACCATACTGCTTGTCACGTACAACCGGGGATTCGAAACCACGCCAGTTGACTCAATGACAGGCGTTATGATGCAGCGCGTACGTGCTAACCATTCGGCCATCCAACCCCCTCTTGTCAGTTACAATGAATGACAGTTTAAATAATTCATTATTCAACACACACCTACAATAAATTATTTTTTATATCTTATAAATATTTTAATTTATTTTTCAGGACGTAGAAGTTATCGTCATAGCAAGGAAATGGGGTTTAGTGTTCTACTTGTCTGCACCTATTTACTGGGTTTGACAGGTTCTTAAACATACATTATACAAGAGCTAAATCTGCCTATTGCAGGTCTTTATTTAGGCCTGAAATGTTATCTAAATTATTAATTAGACATTTATTAACATGAAAAGACCTTAATCAACTCTCGATGCCATCCTATGTGTCGGATTTTCACTGGATTTGAATCCAGTAATGTTGATCGAGGCTAGACCTAACATTGAATAGCTAATATCTCGGTTCAGAGTGGAGCAATTTGACTGAAATATTCAGCATATCCCCTTTACATTATCTAGCTTTTAACTATTATAGTGAGAACTGGCAACTCTTTACATTATCTAGTTTTTAACTATTATAGTGAGAACTGGCAACTCTTTATCTAGCTTTTATCTATTATAGTGAGAACTGGCAACTCTTTATCTAATCTCTCATAATGTATCTTTACATTATCTAGCTTTTAACTATTATAGTGAGAACTGGCAACTCTTTATCTAATCTCCAATAATGTATCTTTAATAAAGGCTATGTTTACTGTTAACAGTGCCGGGTTTAGATCATGAAAGACCCTAGGCTATTTTAGTTATGATACCCCCTTCCAATCCGCCAGCCTCACGACTAGAAGAAGATGAAGGTGTGTTTTAAATACAATTGAACAAAAGCCGTGAATGATGGCGGATGTTTCAGACTATAACACGCGTGTATAACAGGTGCATGACAAAATCAGTTTTTGTTTTACATTTTATTAAGCAAAGCCAAGGATGACGACGGATAGCGCGTGTGTAAGAAAGACTTATGAAAGGGCGGAGCTGCTGAGATCTTGAGGCGTTAGTCTTTTAGGTCTTCGAATCCGGAACTGACGGAGGGGTGGCCGAAAAGCGCACACGCGCAATGAAGTACTTATTAACAGCAGCTATATGACCATAGAACTGTACTAGAATATATGATCTAAGCTATGATGGCTGTTCTCTTTACGACAAAAAACTATCAGTCAATATGGGTCCGGGGGGGGGGGGGGGGCTCTCACTAACGAGAAGGTTTCATACACCGAGAACATTCCCCACGATTTTTAACTCGGGGTTCTCCATGTCAGCCGTGTAGGGCCTGGTATGGAACAACGTCAAGGCATCAAGCCAACCAACACCTGCAGTGGACCATTCGTTACGCTTTCCCAGGATGGTACGACTGGGTACAATTCACCGGGGGGGACCGTGCACGTGACATCAAGCAACACCTGTTGTTATTTGACCTGTTCTATAATCGAAGATAAGACTTTGATCTTTGATCCTGGCACCGGTATCACGTGATATCACTCGGGTTCAGAGAGAATTTAACCATCTGGCTATCAAGGACTAAGGTCACTCCGTAAATCTACAAGGTCATTCCTTCTAAATTCAGCACCGTGTAAGCCTAGACAGATTGGCCTGTTATTTAAAACAAGACGACAGTTGCAAGTTATAAAAATTATGACTGTGTTTTATCAATAATTTTAAAAACCTTAAACAGGACAAACAAATAACAGTCGCGATCTGTTTTTTTTTCATTCGTTTTTTTTTCTCTTTTTTTTTCGATTATAATTTGCGTTTTATATATTTACCGGTGAAGACGAAACGAAATGGGTTTTACCGGGGGGGGGGGGGGGTAAATAAGACAGGGATACGCCGTTGCCCCGGACGCACAGTGGCGTTTCAAAGGTTCTTTTGTTTTCACGCCAACCGGGTGGTTCTATGACCGAATGGTTAGTTTGTGCGCGTTGTATCATAAGGTCGGTCATTGAGTCAGTTGGCGTGGTTTCGATTCCCCGGTAGGGTGGTCTGTCCAACCTCGTTGGTTTTCTCCGGGTCCTCCGGTTTCCCCCCACTGTTAAATACCCCTTCGTGCAGCGAATTATTGAAATAAAATTGAACTAGATGTTAGTCCCGAAATGACCTAGCTTGTGTCGAGTGGACGTCAAACCCCATCTCTCTCTGCACGCCAATCAGTACACGGACAAACCAAGTCCTTACGTTCCATCCGATCGATTAGACAGCTTACCTTTCCGATTGGTTTGTGACAAGATGACGTATAATATATATTAGCAATACCAGAAGCTCTAACCCATACCACTCGACACAAACTAGGTCATTTCGGGACCAACACATGGTTCAATTTAACAATGGGAAGAAATCGGAGGACCCGGAGAAAACACACGAGGTTGGACAGCCGACCCTACCGGAAAATCGAAACCACGCCAGTTGACTCAATGACAGACCTTATGATACAGCGCGCACGTGCTAACCTTTCAGTCATCCAATCCCCCGAAGCTCTAATAGATCTGGGAGGCTTCAAGTACTTTACGGTCCGGCCGTCCCTCAACAAAAACATTATATGACAAAATATAAAAGGTAACTAAAATGAATAATAAATAAACCACATTCGTTGGAAATAAATCTAATTTAGGTTTGTTTTGTAGAAGACGTGTGATTAAAGTCTACAGTCACCTAAACCAGGTGTATTTGTTCTCTCGTTATCTTTTCTAAGATTATCTAATATGTAAATTATCTTTTAAAGTGACTGACAAGATAACTTACACCAACTAGCAAATGGGGTTTAACGTCCACTGTTCTGTTCTATCTGTGCTAATGAAGGGGGGATTTTGCCCGGACAGCGGCGAGGGCAGCGGAGAGAGAGAGAGAGAGAGAGAGAGAGGTTTAACGTTAACGTCCAATCTACCCAAACTTGGTCATTTCGGGACTAACACATAATTCAATTTTATTTCAATAATTCGCTTGCGCGTAGGGGTCTTTAGCAGTGGTAGAAATTCGGGGGACCAGGAGAAAACCCACGAGGTTTGGCAGGCGACCCTACTCCTTGTCACGTACAACCGGGCAATCGAATCCACGCCAGATGACCCAATGACAGGCCTTATGATACAACGCGACGTGCTACCCCCCCCCCCCCGCACGGCCTAATGTTATACTGAATTGAAACTACCCAGGGTTCTTTTACGTGCATGCCAATATGTATACGGGACCTCAATTTTATGTTCCCATCCGAACGACTAACACTATGATAAGATCATTTGCAGAAAATATAAGATCAATATAAGAAAAGATAGCCAGATTTTGGTGAATGTAGGCTTATGTCATTTTTAAAATTGAGAAAAAATAAAATTCGACGTTTAAAACAAGTTGACTGTCCTACAGTTAAAAACACCCGCAGTAAACAATGACATATCATTAATAACCCACGTATTATTTCCTTTTAAATATCGTACGATTTTATTATCAGTCATATATCTCGTTCTGTTCAAATATTATCATACTGTATAATGATCTTTTTAATTTTTTTTATCAGGACGTCATTTATCTTAAATCATATCCTTTAAAATAGATCCACTTAAAGGGACATTACGCTTTCAGAAAACAATCATGGATTGGTTAAAGAAGCTAAATCGCTAAAATTCTGGACCTAGAAATTGACACACAAATGGGCCTCAACGCATTTAATATTGTAATGTGAATCTATATAAACTGATTTACATTCAATCGTTTCTGTTTTACTGTAATTTATAATCAGTTATTTTCAGCGAAATACGCCAGATGTCTCAATCGAATGGCAATCTCTAGCGTCTGGTTATTCCAGTCTACACTGATATTTATTGCGCATGCAATGTCGAAGACTTTGGATGATATTGAGTTAGAGACTTAGCTACTTTAAATCGAACCCAAAACTGAAAATATTATTTCTGATCACGTCTGATATCACATCCCTGATGTTTAATGTTTGAAATGAAAATGGGGTTTAACGTCCTACTGCTCTGCACCGACTGGGCTAATGAAGACGGGCATAAGCCATATAGTGTGCTAGGAGGAAAATTTCACCCGGACAGCGGCACTAAAACCCACTCTTAGATATCGAATACCAGCTATCAGGCCGATTTGTATACATGGGACTTCTATTTTTTGTTTCATCCGAACAACTAGCATTTTCCCCATAGTACACTGGAGGTTGTATGTATGTTTTGATTGGCCCAGCTGGCGCAGAAAATTTAGACGTACCATTTCATTTCTTTTGTTATGGTCCCATCTTCTTTTTCCCAGTCGGAGCAGAAAAGTAGGACGTTAAACCCCATTTTATTTCATTTCTCTTTCCATGGCCGCAAATATTTAGGTGAATTGGATGGCCGAATAGTTAGCGCGTGCGCGTTGTATCATGAGGTCTGTCATTGAGTCATCTGGCGTGGTTTCGATTCCCCGGTTGTAAGTGACAAAGAGTAGGGTCGCCTGTCCAACCTCGTGGGTTTTCTCGGGGACCTCCGGTTTCCTCCCACTGCTAAAGACCCCTACGCGCAAGCGAATTACTGAAATAAAATTGAACCATATGTTAGTCCCGAAATGACCTGGTTTGTGTCGAGTGAATGTTACCCCCCTCTCTATCTCTCTCTCTCTCCTCCCTCTCTCTCTCGTAAAAAGTTGTCTCTTTAAGGTGTATGAAGTTGAGTTTTTGATACTAGGTGTTTATCTTACGTCTATTTAACTGTATTTAAATATATCGTTAATCCATGATTCATACCGGATTATCCTCACTACAGCCAGGTAAATCGTGTTCTTCAAGGATTTCATATGATACGCCCCCATTTTTAATAATCTGGTTTGTATGATGATAATCTATGTTCTTTTCAAGCTCACTGTGGATTGATGCGAGTTTTTTTTATGATTTTAATATATACAAGAAATGCGACGGTATGGTGCAAAAGCTCAGAATGTTTTGGAAATGAAATTTGGTTTAACATCGCACTTGTACAGGTTTCTTATATATAAACTGTATCAAAACTCACTCCATCATCAAACTCCCGCGTTCTCCTGCAGATTTGGTTTCCGTGGAAATGAAATGAGAACATTTTAATTAGCCAAAAAAAGAAAAAAAAGAAGAGATATAGAAATGATGTTTATCGTCCACTTGTCACAAACTAGATCATTTCGGGACTAACATATAGTCCAATTTTACTTCAATAATTCGCTTGTGTGTAGGGGTCTTTAGCAAAGGGAGGTGAGACCGGCGGATCCGGAGAAAATGTACGAGGTTGGTCCGGCGATCCTACTTTATGTCGGTATAATCGGGGAATCGAAACCACGCCACCTGACTCAATGACAGAATAGAGAAACGAACAGAAACCTAAGTGGTGATTAGATTTTAGAGAGAAAGAGAGAGAGAGAAATGGGGTCTCACGTCCACTCGACACAAACTAGGTCATTTCGGGACTAACATATGGTTTAATTTTATTCAATAATTCGCTTGCGCGTAGCTGTCTTTAGCAATGGGAGGATATCGGAGGACCCGGAGAAAACCCACGAGTTTGGACAGGCGACCCTACTCCTAGCCACGTACAACCGGGGATTCGAAACCACGCCAGTTGACCCAATGACAGACGTGCTAACCATTCAGCCCCCCCCCCCCATGATTTTAGACCTCGTGTTGCTACAACGATTAGATTCCATAGCAACACGGGGCAAAAACTCCAGCGACTCGACTCCGTAACAACACGGGGCA